GAAAGAATGCCAGCATCCCCTTGGGCCAGCTGGTAACATAGCCCAATGCAACCTGCCCTCCAAATCTGATATTTTGTCTTAAAAATTCATAAATAATTTGTGTTCTCCATATCATAACTTGTTTTCTTTCATACAAAATCATGTTCAAACTTACTAATATTAAGTAAAACAGTTCTCTAAGAATTTGCAACAAGTTTAAGCTGCGGCTTAAAATGCCCCTTGGCATACTAATGTGTACTTCAGGGGGTTAAAAGGTTAAACATATTTTAGAGTCACAAAGAGCTGACTTTGAGATCCAGGTGTGCTATTTACTATGTAGCTTTGGATAAGTAATTTAACTTAGGGGAAACTTTCAGCTCATATATTGCTAAATATTGTCATTTTAGTCTCTATCATTAGGCTTGGAGAAATAACACGAATCTAGACTCACTTGGTTTTTTGACTTTTTTTGTTTTGTTTTGTTTTGGTATGGAGGGGTGGAGATCATTTTCTTCCTTTTCCATATGAGCTGCCTTACAGAATAGAGAAGACAAAAAATGCCAACCTGAAGGGTGTGTGTGAAAGTAGATGATAAGGACCATAAGACTTCCCTGTGATTATGGGGTGGGGGAAGGGGAGAATTGGGGGGACAACTATGTGCCTTTGGACCTCATAGCTTTTAGATACCGTTTGATACAACCATCTTCTTTATTGTCCTACTGTCTCTGCTTTCTTGCATAGACATAAAGATGAATAGCATACACTCAAGACAAAAACATTTCTAAAGAATGTCATGAATGTAAAGAACATAGTAAGTAGGTACAGAGGCACAGATGTATCACGTACAACTTGATTTTTAACTTGAAAGAAGAATCTTTGCTTATATGGGAGCCGATATACCATATTATTTCCTTCACCCAAACTTAATCTTTGTGGGGATGATCTAATTAAATGAAAATTCTGAGAGATGCATAAACTGATTTCAGTTTACTGAGTCAACACAGAACAAATTTCAATGTTCTGGCGTAATAGCAAGTGCTGTTTATTGAAGAAAAAAGCAAATTTCACCTTTGAGTTAGACTCTCTTTTCAAGTTTGCTGTATTGACCCCATGTATTGTGACTCATTCATCACCAAATGTCTGATGAATGCTGATATATAGGCACAATGCTTTCTGAAATTTTAATTCAGGGCTGTTCCCATTTTTACAAAAGTAAGTCTCATTTTGAATCTAGCCTTTTGCTTAGCACTTAGTTTTAATTTCTAGATGCATATTTGAATTGAGAGTTAATATCCTGGTTGACACAGCACATTATAATTAAACAATAACCAAGGCACACACTACAGTAATATAAAGTGAAGATGTGAAAGTTAAGCATCCTGCCTTTTTTACCAACAGATGTGAGGGAATTAGCTCAAAGGGGCAAAACAATAAAGATCAGATAATCCATAAGAAATCTGAAACACCACTTAAGTAAAATATNACGCCTAAAGGAAAAGTGCAGAGTGCCTCCTGCTTGGGATAATATGTGTCTAACACAGACGCTGGCATTCACAGATACTCAGCAGCTACTGAAAGCTGAAGAGCCACATGGGAGGTGATGCCTGTGTGGAAACCAGTCAGCCCCTCGGCCTTGCCAAAGCCATCTCCTCCCCCTGGAACTGAGTTGGAATTAAGATTGGCTTTCAATACAGCAGACATCACTTCAGGCATCAAGAATTCCTTGTGGAATATCTGTGAAAACAAAGGGATAACTGCCAGCAAAAAAAAAAAAAAAAAGAAGAAAAAGAAAAGTTTCTCTCCACTTAAAAATTATTAATTTAATGCCTGAAATGAATACCAAACAGGTCTTTTAACAACTACTCATTATGCCTTGATTTCCCACTCCTATCAATAAAAAAGGGAAGTAAATGCAATTTTTTCACATGTTTTTAAGCAATGTGGCTGAGAAAAATGTGGACCATAAGGCTGTGAAAACCGTACTTTCAGCTGAGGTGAACTTCCACACGGTGTTGGTGTGAGCATCTCCGACGTACACAGTCCCGTCTTCAGAGGCAACGATGTCATGAGGCATGTCAAAGTGCTGCCAAGACAAGAAGCACACATTAGGGTGCTGAGCCTATACTTGAACTCTTCATAAAAGGGCATAAAAACAAAGAAAAGCACGTCACAAAACAATAAGCACATTACTCAAACAAAAAAACAAAAAAACAAAAAAATGATAATTCCCATCAAAACAACTCTAGGTCAAAAAGAGTCATTTATTCATTCATTCATTCATTCATTCTCTGGGCATTGACTCTGCCAGACATAATTTTATGCATTGGGAGATGCTATGGGACCCTCACCACTGACTTTCAAGTCTTTTAAAATATGAACATTTACAAGTCGATTATCTTTTTACAGTGTTGTTTTCTTGGCGTTGCATTATCTACCTATTCATTTATTTTGTCTTCATGCTTCTTCTACCTTTTCATCACTATCAAATTTGCCTGTTTTAATCTATATAACTCAAAAAGACCAGGTATTAATTTTGGTTGTTATCCCCATCAAGGTGTCATGTGCTACCTTAAAAACTGTTTATATGTTATTGATAAGAGGAGTCATTTCAGCGATTCAGAGCATTCAGATTATTTCTGAAACGCACACTAGGAGATAGGCAACATTGTGAGCTCTGTTTTTGCAATATTTTCAGCCAGCAAAGGAAACTCATTGTGAGTGTTACCTCCAAGTACTTCCTCAGCTTTCATACCTACTTAGATACAGTGTCTCACTGTGTCTTTCTTCATGACATATTTCCATTTAAAGTCATCATCGTCTCAGTTTGAGGACAGGAGACAGAGGACAGCACTTGAGGTGACTCAGGAAGCTAGTTCCTGGAAGAGCAGCCTTACAATGTTGTACTGCTATTCCCAGCTGTCTTCTGAAGCCTCCAAAGGTGCTGCGTGCCTGCCAGTTGGCGGGACATGGATGATGGTTTTGCCTCTCAGGCCAGCAGGCCTGCCTGAGCAAGCCGTTCTCAAAAATACGACCAAGGGAGTATGAACAGAAGCATTCTCCTGACTGTGGGCTTATCAGCCAGCACTCTGGTTTGCTGAATACAAAGGGCACTCATGAGGCAATCTGGGGTGCTCAGCTCACTTTAGGAGCCGTGCAATCCACGCTTTGCAGATACTATTGTGCTTCAAAAATCAGCAAGAATTTGTCCCATGAGAGGAAAACGGAGACAGCGGTGACAAGGAAGCTTGTTCCTTCCTACCATCACGCGAGCTGTGACAAATGTGCACGAGAAGGACAGAGAGCCAGAAATCAAGATGCTGCCTAGCTGAAATCTTGCAAGCCTGTCATTAAATGTTCATCTTTATTTGGGGTTCAGCTAATGGATGGCAATCCACTTGC